TACAATATGAATACTACTGAATTGAATCCCAGCACAAACCGACGTCTGCAAGCTGCCGGCGGAGGCGCCGGTCTTCATGCACTCGAAGCTGTGGCTGCATCTGATGACGCCTTCCCACCCTTGAAGTTGGCTGTTGTCAAAGCGTTGGATATCATCGAGATCATCAAGGTGCTTGGCTTTGCTCTAATCAATCTATCTGACCTATCTATCAATCAAATTAGAAATTCAACTCTAACAGGAGAGCCTGGGCTGCTTGTTCAGATAATCTTACTGGGAAATTTGAGGAGATCACTTGGTATACCTGTCAATTTCACAAGGATCATGTTCCGTCTGCTTTGCAATCTTGGCTTGAGGATTTGAAAGGGTGCGTGACTTTGACTGTTATCATAAATGCCTTAAACATGAATACTCTGCTAGAGCTTTGGACCATCTAAAAGAAAGTGTTTCAGATATTCACAAGCAGAGTTTAAGGAGTTTTCCCAGCTTCTCACAAGATACAGAGCATATTGAGAAATTTGAGGGAAAGGTGAATGAAATCATGAGCTCTTTCCATGTGTGTAAAATAGCTCCCTGTTTAATTGGCTCACTGACACCAAAATTTAGGTCCTTTGGTATGAGAAGAATCTCCAAAGTATGTTGAAGCATCCATTTTTTGATTCCTCACTTTTTATTATTCTTTACAGCTGACAGTCCAGAGACTGCTGAACAGCTGAGGACCACAGAGGCCAGTCAAGATAGTAAGTTATTCAGCTGAAACTGACACTTCTGAATTTCCCTTATTTTTGTTGTTCATCTGAAAAGGTGCTACAGCAGCTCAAGTAACTGTCTTTGCTGGGGCACAAGATATTCAGATGGATCATAGTGTAATTATTGCTGGACAAGTTGTTAGTGAACATTCTCATTGACATTTCCATGCTAATCCACATCTACATTTTGCAGGTCCACTACAACAATACTGAGGAACTTCAAGAGAAAATCAATGCCATGATAGAGGAATCAAAGGAAAGTCATGTTAGCCTAGTTACCTTCATAACTTATACCAGCCAATTCCTCAGGCAGATAAATGGTTGCAGGAGCTCAAGGCTCCATTACATAGTAAACCATCAGAGAGATGTATGCCTGGAACTCGAGTAGATGTGCTAACAGACATTAAAGCATGGGTAAATGATCCAAGCATGCCAAACATTCTCTGGCTTTCTGGCAGTCCTGGCTCTGGGAAGACAACAATTGCTTCAACTGTTGTGGCTAGCTTTGAACATTTTTCTGGGCAATTCTTCTTCCACCGTGATCAGACTGAGCTTCAGAATCCAGATAATCTATGGAGATGCCTTGCTTTAGATCTTGCTCAGGGAAACACTGCATTGAAGATATCTATAGCCCAAGCACTAGAGGCACAGAAAGCTAAAGTCAGAGGTCTTGACATTCTCATGCAATTTGAGCATCTCATTGTCAAGCCACTCCAGGAGGCCTCTCAAAGCTCTGTGAAGCCACTTCTTCTTGTTATTGATGCTCTGGATGAGTGTGATTCATATGAGAGACTCTTACCTTCTTTAAAATCCTGTTCTCAACTTTACAAGTCTCTAAAGCTTCTAGTTACAAGTCGCCGCTATCCTGATATTCAGAATGCATTGAAACCTGTTGGTTATCATATTGATCTTCATGCTGGAGATGAAGTTTCTGATCAGACTGCTGATGATCTTTGGAAATACTTTACCACAAGATTTCTTGAAGGGGCTAATTTAGATGCCTCAGCTCTATATCTGAATTGGCCTGGTCTAGAAAAAATTTCCTTTCTTGTAGAAAAAGCTGCTGGGCTATTCATTTGGGCTAAATCTGCAATGGACTTCATCTTGTATAAGGGTGGTGACATTCAAGGGAGGCTGGAAGTTATATGTTCCAATACTGGAGAAGGGACTGATGCCATTGATGGCTTGTACCATCATATCATTTCTGCTGCTTTTCAGGGTCTAAGAGAAACAGAGAAAAATTCCTTGTCATCAGTTTTGGGCTCCATTGTCATTGCAAGAAATCCACTTCGTTCCAGTGATCTTGAACAGCTTCTAGAGGTTCAAGATGCATTGTCTGTAATCAGTCAACTAAGTCCAGTCTTGTCTATCAGTGAAAGTGGCCATTTGCAGATCTGTCATCAGTCAGTTACAGATTTTCTGCTTGACCCAAAGCGCTCTAAGGCTTTTTGGGTTGATTCTAAGAAGCACAGTCTCTGTCTTGCTGGGTGTTGTATGAAATTTATGAGTGCAAAGCTAAAGTTTAACTTTTTTGATCTCAAAACATCACATATCCTAAATGAAGATATTCCAAACCTGATGGATCATATGAAAAATGTGAAATCTACTGCTCTAGATCATGCAAGCTACTTCTGGGCAATCTATCTGCAAAAATGTTCTGATAGGGCATTGGAAGAGAAGATAATGGTTGAAATGGAGAAATTTCTGATAAACCATCTTTTACATTGGCTAGAAATTATGAGTCTGATGGGTGCTGTAAATCATGCTGCTCACTTACTGCTTTTGGCTGAAACTTGGTGCAAAGTAAGTGTCTTGTAAAAGTATACTACTATGATACTGACATGAACAAATCAAATATAGGCATTGAAGCCTAGTATGTCAGAGTTTGCAAGTGATGCAAACCAGTTTATAATGACATTTTTTGAGCCAATCTCTGAAGCAGCACCACACATTTACATCTCAGCACTGCCATTTGCCCCACAAAATTCTAAAATATCCCTTCACTTCATACAACATTTTGGAAAGACTTTGACAATTGAGAATGGTCAGATGAAACAGTGGCCAGACAGGTGCCTTCTGAAAATAAAGACTGATATTGGTCCACTTGCATATTCACCTGATGGCAGGCACATTGTCTCTGGATCTGATGGAGGAGCTATTCATGTCTGGGATGCCCTCACAGGCCATAATATCATGGATTTTAAAGGCCATGCTGACTATGTGAGTTCAGTTGCATATTCTCCTGATGGGAAACACATAATCTCAGGATCTTTTGACAAGACAATCAAAATCTGGGATGCTTTAACAGGCCAGTGTGTTATGGGTCCTCTTGAAGGCCATGATGACTGGATTAGCTCAGTTGTATGCTCTCCAGATAGTGGGCACATTGTCTCTGGATCCAGAGATATGACAATCAGAGTATGGAATACTTTGACAGGCCAGAGTGTCATGGAACCTCTAAAAGGCCATAGTGGTTCGGTTACTTCAGTTGCATATTCTCCATGTGGCAGGCATATTATTTCAGGGTCTCGTGATGCACAATCAGAAT